ACATATTTGTTTTGGTCATTGCTTTCAAAGAATAATCAATTGAATGCATCTAAGTAAGTAAATGAGAAAATCAAGTAAAATTTTTACTTGGAATGAAAAGAAAACTAACAACCATAAATAAGTAAACAATTTATCTTGAAATATTTAAAGAAAAAAGTTGGTAACAAAAAAAGCACTTGTCGGACTTATAGGAGAGAAAAAAAAAAGGCTAAGTGGACGCAACGGTGACTCGATAAAATTAATATTTAAATATGAAATAATATTAAAGATTAAATAGAAAATGTGGAATCGAAACTTAAAAATCAAAAGCTGTAAGAATTATGAAGGTTGAAAAATATGAGAAGAGTTTGAAGTTTGAAGAGTTTGAATTTTCGAGAGTATTATAGCAAGCAAGAATAGAAAAGGTCAAAAGGTAAGTTATGAGTGGAGTGAAATTATTTTTACTTCTAAAAGATGATGAGTCAAGAAAATCAATTAGTTAATTAAGGAATATTAGTCAATTATTAAATGTTTATGTGGGATTGGGAATTGAAAAATAAAATAAATAAATAATAAATTAAAAAATTTTATATTTTTAAATGAATAAACGAGTCAAATCTGTTAACTCGATGAGTTAACCCATTATTGACCTATGACCTATTAGATTCTCTTAACAGATCATTAACAAATCACAGATTATAAATATATGATTTTAACCCATTTTAAACGGTCAAATAATAAACGAATTAATGGATTGAGTAAAAAATTGACGGAACACCAACGAGGGGTTAGATCAAGTGGTAAGCGGCTTGTTCCAGCTTAAACAAGGTCTCGAGTTCGAGACCTTATGAATGCAGCAGCCCTCGCTGAAAGACTCACCCACCATTTCCAAGTGCGCGACGCGAGTCGGGTCCAGATTAGTCGGGACGAAATCTTAATACCAGGCAGGAAACCAAAAAAGAAAAAATTTTTGACGGAACTAGTGACGAGTGATCATTATCCTGGATGTACGGAGTAAATCGCTGTGCCAGGAT